CCCTCCCCTCCGCAAGAGGAGTGGACCCCGGGCTCCACGCAGAGGCTGCGGCCCTCGCTCGGCGGCCCCTCGCGCCTGCCGCCCATCGGCTCCGGCAAGAAGGCGCCGCCGCTGCCCGCCGCGCCGCCCCGGCTGCCGCCCGTGGACCCGGGCCCGCTGTCGCGGCTCCCGCCGATGCCGCCGGCGCCGCCAGCGCCGGCGCCGCCGGCGCTCCTCGCGGGTCGCGAGCCCGAAGCCCTCCGCGCCCAGCCAGAGGAGCGGAGGAGGAGGAGGAGGAGGCGGAGGAGGAGGCGGAGGAGTAGGAGGAGGCGGAGGAGGAGGAGGAGGAGGAGGCGGACCCAGGTATTTCAGGCAACCTTTTCGCCCCAAAAGGTTGCCTGAAATACCGGCCATTTTGGGCTGATCCGCGGGTGAGAAAATACAGCTCGGCGACCTCGAAGAGGTGCGAGCTGGCAATGTTATTGCGGGGCGGCCACTGGGCGGCAATATTGTAAGACATCCTGCCGCCCGATGTTGGGCGACATGGGCTCACGAGCAGTATGTTCCTGGAGGCCTCGTCGGGAACATAGTAAAGTTCATATTGAAGTTCATGTGCGGTTCAGTTCCCCCTCCCTTCCTGCCTCCCCCGCGCCTTGCCTCCGACGGGCGCGCGGGCGCGCCGAAGGGAGGGGCCGGGTGGCGCACAGCCCTCCGCCCCGCGCCCGTCTCCTCCGCCTTCCGGTTCCTTCCTGCCCCCTCCTCCCTCGCGTCCTCCTCCTCGTCGCTGCTTCTTTCTGGAGGGGGGGGGCCCTGCCGCGGGCACTCGGGTGGTCCTTGGCCTTCCACCCTGGTGTCGACGAACAACTCACGATTGGACCCCCCCCCCTTGTCCTGTTGCACTGGACTTCGGCCGGCACGCCTGGCCCCAGTGGTCACCACGCCCAAAACGGGCGTGGTGCTGGGGCCGCGGATTCAGCCGGAGGAGTAGGAGGAGGACGGAGGAGGAGGAGGAGGAGGAGGAGGAGGAGGAGGAGGAGGAGGAGGAGGAGGAGGAGGAGGAGGAGGAGGAGGAGGATACGGGAGGAGGAGGAGGAGGAGGAGGAGGAGGAGGAGGGAGGAGGAGGAGGAGGAGGAGGAGGAGGAGGAGGAGGAGGGGGAGAAGCAGGAGGCGGAGGACTGGGGTCAGCCGTCGCACCCCCCCCCCGACGTCGTTGTGCACGCCGAGTCGTGTTTGACGATCCGAGGGGCCCGCACAAGGGTCCCCCAGTGACCGAACACAGCGACACGTTTCCCATCGCTATTTTTAGGTCGGGCCAAACATACCCCCAACATAGTCCAAACATAGTCCAAAAATAGTATGGGTACTAAAAAAACATGTTTGGATCTTTGGGGGCATTCCAAAGTTTGTATATTTATATATATATAGTGTCGAAAATCCCCCTGTAGGATGACAGGCCCGACTTAACGTTATTTCCTCACCAACCGAGGGGGTCTGGCCCTGAGTTCCGACGTCTCGGAAAGATTGAGCCATCGTGAGAAATCGCGGCTGGAGCTCCTGACCCCATCTTCTTGCGCCATGCTTCGAGGCGGATCGACGTGTGAGGGCCACGGGGCCCGTGACTGGGCGAAGGCGCCCAGCTCGAAGAAGTTGTCGACCACACGTAGGACAGACCCTTTGCCGGAGTGGCCTTTGGTGCGGGCCCTTTTTGGTCCCCCGATCGCCGCACGCGATGCGACAGGGGCGCCTTTTCTCGCTTGGGCTTTGCCCCCCCCCCCCGTGGCTCCCCGAGAGCCGCGCACCACAGGTCACTCCTGCCTAGGGTCACTCTAGCGTGTAGCCGAAGTCGGGCCGCTGGGCTCCCACGGGGAGTCGGCTGGCGCCCCCGCGAGGAGAGCGACCAATGGCTGAGCGAGGCCGCCCTGGCGGCCGTGCCGCCAGCCCTGGGCAGCAGGCGGTTCGGCGCCGGCGCCGCGCGCGAGGCCGCCGCCAACAGGCCCATGGCGCTCGCGGCGGAGGGCGGCAGCGGAACGCCCGGCGCCTCGCAGGTGCCGCTCCGCGATCGCCTCGCCTTCCCTTCCTCCTCCTCCTCCTCCTCCTCCTCCTCCTCCTCCTCCTCCTCCTCCTCCTCCTCCTCCTCCTCCTCCCCCTCCTTTTTTTTCCTCCTCTCCTCCTCCTCTTCCTCCTCCTCCTCCTCCTCCTCCCTCCTCCCTCCTCCTCCTCCTCCTCCGTTCCTGTTTCCCTTCTCCCCCTCCTCCTCCTCCTCCCTCCTCCCCCTACTCTTCCTAATTCTCCTCCTCCTCCTCTCCTCCTACTCATCCCTCCTCCCCTCCTCCTCTCCTCCTCCTCCTCCCCTCCCCTCTCACTCCTCCTCCTCTCTCCTCCTCCCCCTACCTCCGTCCTCCTCCTCTCTCCTCCTACCTCCTTCTTCTCCTTCCCGCCTTCTCCTCCTCCTCATCCTCATCCCTATCATCATCCTCCTCATCCCCCCCTCCCCCTCCTTCACATCTACTCCGCCTCCCTCCCTCCTCCTCCCTTCCCTCATCCTACTCCTTATCTAATCATCATCTCATCCTCATCCTCATCCTCCTCATCCCCCTCCTCCTCCTCCTCCTCCTCCTCCTCCTTCTCCTCCTCCTCCTGCTCCTCCTCCTCCGGTCATAGCTCGGCCTCGCACGAGCGAGGTTTCGAGGCTCGAGGATTGGGAGCGGTCTCTCGTCGCTCTCGGCGGCCCTTTCCCGCCTCGGGATGCCTTCCAGCGGTTGCGCCTCTGCGAGAGTGTTCTGGGGGTGCCCGGATTGTCTCGAAGGGCCTGGTCGAGGCCCGAGATATGGACCGCAAGCCGCTCGGCTCCCATTCTTGTTCTACACCTGTCTCAAGGACTCCCAGATGGGGTCGGAGCAGATAATATCGTAGGATCGCGCCGCATCCCCGATGCATCGTCGATGCGGTTCGATGTGGAGCCCGTGTTTCCCCACGCCGACGTCGCCGTTACATCGCCGATGTATCGTTTATGCATCGCCGATGCATCGCTGATAACCCTGTGCTCCCGATAATAATCCCCTGGGGATAATAAAGTACAGGGCTCTGGCGGGGATAATCCACGATTTTCCCGGCGGGTGATGATGACGACGACGACGACGACGACGACGACGACGACGACGACGACGACGACGACGACGACGACGACGACGACGACGACGACGACGACGACGACAACGACGACGATGATGATGATGATGATGATGGTGATGATGATGATGATCATGATCATGATCATGATGATGATGATGATGATGTTGATGTTGATGATGATGTTGATGACGATGATGATGCTGATTATGATGACGATGTTGATGCTGCTTCTGATGATGATGATGATGATCCTGGGCGCTCGTGTAGACTGACCTTGTAGATCGTGGCGGAAGGCTGACTCGACAGATCTTGAGCCTGGGCGCTTGTGTAGACTGACCTTGTAGATAGTAGTAGTCGTAGTCGTATTACTAGTAGTAGTAGTCGTAGTAGTAGTAGTAGTAGTAGTAGTAGTAGTAGTCGTAGTAGTAGTAGTAGTTGTTGTTGTTGTAGTAGTAGTAGTAGTCGTAGTAGCCGAAGTAGTCGAAGTAGTCGTAGTAGTAGTAGTAGTAGTAGTAGTAGTAGTAGTAGTAGTAGCAGTAGTAGTAGTAGTAGTAGTAGCAGTAGTAGTAGCAGCAGCAGTAGCAGCAGTAGTCGAGGTAGTAGTAGTCGTAGTAGTTGTAGTAGCAGTAGTAGTAGTAGTAGTAGTAGTAGTAGTAGTTTGTAAGTATTTTAGTAGTCGTATAGTAGTAGTAGTAGTAGAGGTAGTAAGAGTAGTTAGTAGGCGTAGTAGTAGTAGTATAGTAGTAGTGTAGTAGTAGTAGTTGTAGTAGTAGTAGTAGTAGTCTCGTAAGTAGTAGTAGTCGTAGTAGTCGTTAGTAGTAGTAGTAGTAGTAGTAGCAGCCAGCAGTAGTAGTAGTAGTCGTAGTAGTAGTAGTAGGTAGTAGTAGCAGTAGTAGGTAGTAGTAGTAGGTAATAGATAGCAGTGTAGTAGTTAGTAGTAGTAGTAGTAGAGTAGTCGTAGTCGTAGTCGTTAGTTGTTGTAGCATTAGTCGTCGAAGTGTCGTCGTTATCAGTTAGCAATTAGGTGGTTAGCGCTAGTAGTAGTAGTAGTAGTAGTAGTAGTAGTAGTAGTAGTATTAGTAGCAGCAGCAGCAGCAGCAGCAGCAGCAGCAGCAGCAGCAGCAGTAGTAGTAGTAGTAGTAGTAGTAGTAGTAGTAGTAGTAGTAGTGGTGGTGGTGGTAGTAGTAGTAGTAGTAGTAGTAGTAGTAGTAGTAGTCGTAGTAGTAGTAGTAGTAGTAGTAGGTCGTAGTAGTAGTAGTAGTAGTAGTAGTAGTAGCAGAAATAGTAGTAGTAGTAGTAGTAGTAGTCGTCGTTCGTCGTTCGTCGTCGTCGTGGTCGTCTCGTCGTCGTAGTAGTAGTAGGTAGTAGTAGTAGTAGTAGTCGTAGTAGTAGTAGTGTAGTAGTAGTTCTAGTAGTAGTGGTCGTGTAGTAGTAGTAACAGTAGTAGTAGTAGTAGTAGTCGTAGTAGAGTAGTAGTAGCGCTAGTAGTTATAGTAGTATAGTAGTTTAGTTAGTAGTAGTAGTAGTAGTAGTAGTAGTAGTATTTATTAGTAGCAGCAGCAGCCAGTTAGTAGTAGTAGCAGTAGTCGTAGTAGTCGTAGTCGTAGTAGTATCGAGGTGTAGTAGTCGAGTTAGTAGTAGTCGTAGTTAGCAGTAGTAGTTCAGTATTAGTAGTAGGTTAGTAGTAGTAGTTATAGTAGTAGGTCGTAGTAGTAGTAGTAGTAGTAGTATAGTAGTAGTGGATAGTAGCAGTGGACAGTGGTAGTAGCAGTGGAAGTAGTAGTAGTAGTAGTAGTAGTAGTAGTAGTAGCAGTAGTAGTAGTAGTAGCAGTAGTAGTAGTAGTAGTAGTAGGAGTAGGAGTAGGAGTAGGAGTAGGAGTAGGAGTAGGAGTAGGAGTAGGAGCAGCAGCAGCAGCAGCAGCAGCAGCAGCAGCAGCAGTAGGAGTAGTAGTAGTAGTAGTAGTAGTAGTAGTAGTAGTCGTAATCGTAGTCGTAGTCGTAGTCGTAGTCGTAGTAGTTGTAGTCGTCGTCGTTGTCGTCGTCGTCGTCGTAGTAGTAGTAGTAGTACTACTACTACTACTACTACTACTCGAAGGAAGGAAGGATAATGGTGGGAGAAGGGAGAGAGCGGAGGATGGGCCAAGGTTCTTTGAGTCTGATTCCTTCGAGTCGTGTTCAATCTCGCATGTGGGGTGTGTGTGTCCATGGTGGGCAACTCCCGGGGAGAAAGCAAACCCGGGATACAGAAGTTCGGGACGGGGGGGGGGGCGAGGGGAGGAGGGGGAGAAGGGAGAGGCCATGCCGCACGTTCGTGGCTAGGGACAACTGAACTGGCTCCCATAGCCCTGCGGCACGCTCGTGAACTGGTGAGACCACCATTGCCATGCTCAGCGTATGTGATGCTGTTGCTAGTCAGAATGAGATGACAGCAACTTCGGTTCGCAACTTCCCCTGGGGATCATCGAGTTCGGCCTCGCCGCCCCTCTCCGCACTTAAATCCTATTGGCACGGGACACATCAGATAGAGGGGGTACAGGGGGGGTCATGATTTATTATCGGGGGCACTGGGTTACATCGGCAAAGCATTGGCTATGCGGCGCGATCCTTCGACCCCATCTCCTCCTCCTCCTCCTCCTCCTCCTCCTCCTCATCCTCCTCCTCCACAATTTCTCAATATGAATACTACTCTCCCTCTTCCCCCGATGACGGCCTGAATGTAGCCGACCCCCCCCCCCCGCGTACCGTTTTTGACACACATGATTCCCGGGAGTTGGGTTTTCGCCTGCGTTTTTTTCAAAATGCTGCTCTCGCTGGGGCGCTGGCCTCATTTCTGCTCCCGAATCGTTCCGAATCGTGCTCCCGCTGCAGCGTGGGCCTCATGTTCGGATCGGTGTTTTGCCTCCGTCGTTCAGGATGGCGTTCTCGCCCCAGCGCGGGCCTCTTTCTCGCGCGCCCATCCGCCCGCCACCACCGCGCCGCACCACGCCCCGCCCCGCCGCACGCACACCCACCGCCACTTCCACCCACCAACGCACGCACGCACGCACGCGCACCACCACCGCGCACCGCCACCACCACCGCACTACCCCACCCACCACCACCACGCTACACCGCGTCACACCACATCACACGCGCGCACACACACGCACACACGCACGCACGCACGCACGCACGCACGCACGCACACACACACACACACACACACACACACACACACACACACACACACACACACACACACACACACACACACACACACACACACACACACTCACACACACTCACACACACACACCACCACCGCCACCACCATCACCGCCATCACGCACGTACGAACCTGGCCCACCACCAAACCACCAAGACGCCACACCACGTCACACCACAGCACACGCGCACACACGCACACACACACACATACACACCACCACCACAACAACCACAACCACGCACACACGCACGCACGCACGCGCACCACCACCCACTACGCACACGCGCGCGGAGCCACAGGTCCGCTACGACACGCGTCCGCGGATAAAGAACATCAGCGCCATGGTAAGGGATGGGAGGGAGGGGTAGGATGTCAGATGTTGACGCGAGCGCACCTAACTTGTCCTCCTCCTCCTCGTCCTCCTCCTCCTCCTCCTCCTCCTCTCACTCGTTCTCCTCCTCCTCCTTCTCCTCCTCCTCCTCCCCCTCCTCCCCCTCCTCCTCCCTCTCCCCGTGCCCCCCTCGCAGAGGTGCCCTCGCCCGCGAGCGGGGCGGGTCCCGTGGGCGCCGCAGACGGCGGCGGCTCCGCGCAGCAGGGGGAGGCGGCACACGCAAAGGCGCCGAGGGGGGTGACAGGGCTCATGAGCGGCGCCCACGAGGCAGGGTCCACGTTGGTGCTCGTTTCTCTCTGCACTGTTCTGCCGCTCGGCGTGGGCCCTCGCACCCCCCCCCTCCTCGCCCCCCCCCCTCCCCCATGGAGTAGAGACCTTGGCTGTTGTTTGGCGCCTGCTGCAGGCAGGTGGGGACCCTCCCCCACAGGACGTTTTGTTGCGAACAATCGCGCTAGGCAGAGGTTTGGAGCCCGACCCCCCCCTCCCCCCCCCTCCGTCCAATGTCGAAATGCTGGAAAAAACGCCCATTTGAATGCGGGCAAGATTTCCGTGCAGTCGGGCCGAGGTATAAGATCGAGGTCGGTTCGGGGAGGGTGCCTTGGTGTTCTTGGTGCTTGTTGGGTGCTCTTGTGCATCCTGGGGAGGGTATACATTTGGATATTAGTATGTGCGCTTTGGCCGACGAGGAGCCTCATGTTCTTGATGGATGCCTTTCTGGCCTACGTCCGACTGTAGCACCCGGGCGTCCGTGGTGTGTTCTCATCCACGACGCCTACAGCGAATCACCGCCGCCCATTGCCTTTTAGAATACGCCTATGCGGCCAAACGATTGGGCAACGCTTGGCCAAGTTATTATTGGACCACGCGTTCCCCCAGCAGTGGTGGAAACGCCCCGGGGAACACGTGCGGGGGGGAAGGGGAGGATGAGGAGGAGGGAAAAGTGGAGGAGGAGGAGGAGGAAGCCGCTTGGAAGCCTCCTGGGAGCTCCCTGGGTGCCTCTCGAACACTTCTTGGGGGTCTCTTTGGGCCTCTTGGGGATCTTTGGAGGTGTCGTGGGGGCCCCCTTGGCTGTCTTAAAGCGTCCCTGTCCCGTCTGACGCCGTCGGAGTCCGTCTTTTGGGCCTCTCTGGGCCGGCTTGGGGCCTCTCGGGGCGCTTCAGGCCATCTTGTAGGCCATGCTAACCGTCTTGGAGGCCATCTTGGACCTTCTTGGTGCCATCTTGGGGCCGTCTTGGGGGCCTCTTGGGCCGTCCTGGGGCCGTCTTGGAGGGCTCTTCGGCGCTCTTGGGGCCATCTTGGAGGCTCCTTGGTCGGACTCGGAGGCATATTGGAGCCATTGTTGGCCGTCTTGGTGTCTTCTTGTGCGAACATGGAGGCAACTTAGACCCCCTTAGGCCATCTTACAGGCCGTCTTGGGCCAATGTGACCATCTTAGATCGGGGATACGTAAGACTCGCGTAAGCCAGAACTTTGGTTTTCCGACGTTTTGTTGACGAGCGCGTCATGGATTTTAACGGTCCAGCTTCCGTAGGGTGTTTGCAGCGGGAGCTCGCGTCAAGTTTCAGATCGGGTCTCGTCATTTTTGTTTGATGGCCCCGTCAGGCCAGCCCGAGTCCCCATTTTTGTATGATGTCCCCGTCAGGCCAGCCCGAGTCCCCAGTACAGCCGACCCGCAGAGTAAGGATAGGCATCCCTCCCAAGGGTACCCTTGCCTCCTTGCTTCCTGGGTCCATCCTTGGACACGTTCGTTGGCCGCGCCCCGCTCGAACAGCTTCGAAGTGGACTTCCAAGGCCCTGGCATTCTTATCGCGCATCCTTACTCTGCGGGTTGACCCAGGAGTCACGCCTCCCCGATGGAAGCCACCTTGAGCCGTCTTTGGGTGTTTTCTGTGCGCGCCGTGCTCGGTCCGGGGGCCTGGCGGGTGGCCCGGCGAGCCGGGTCGAAGCCCCAGTCGGGAGCCTCGAGACGGGGGTCGGTGCAAACGGGGGTCAGCCAGGGCACCGGATCCTGCAGGACCCTGCGAAGACCCCTCTGGCTGACCCGGGTCAGCGAGCCGCTCGTGGCCGCGAGGCGGCCGCGCCTGTTGGCTGACCCGGGTTTGCGAAGACCTGCGTTGCAGTTTTTTGTTTCTTGCACTGCAGGTTTTTGCTTTCCTGCTGAGCCGGTCTGGATTGACCCGGGTCAGAAGGTCCCCGACCCAGGGAGAGTTGTTTCGGAAAAGAGCCAAAACAACCAACCTTCTGAGGTCCAGCGGTAGGCCGGGCCTGTCCCTGTGCAGGAGGAGTATTCCAGAACAGTCCAAACATAGTCTGGGGACAGCTTTTAGTATTTTTTGATCTTCGTGCTGCATGTTTGGCGTATTGCTTATTTTTCCTCCAAGCTCCGCCTGTAGGGGGACACGCCCGACCGAAGTCTATCGCGCCAGGCACCCCTATGATAAATCAGCAGGGGGCGGCGGATCGAAGACGCTCACGGCGAATCTCCGCCGCCACCTGCCTTCTGGAATCGCCCGTGTTGCCGAGCGTTGTGGCAAGAGCTCTGTAAGGCTATCGGACCATGTGTTCCTCCAGCCGTTGTAGAAACCTTCGGGAAACACTTGGGGGAGGATGACGGAGAATCAGGAGGAGGAGGAGGAGGAGGAGGAGGAGGAGGAGGAGGAGGGGGCATCTTGGGATCCTTTGGGGGGGGCACTCTTGGGGCCTCCTGGGGGCTTCTTGGGAGATTCTTGGGGGCATCTTGGGGGCCTCTTGGGGGCCTTGGGGAGCTTCTCTTTGGCCGTCTAAGGGAATTCCTGGCCCGTCTGACGCCGTCGGACGCCGTCTTTGAGGCCTCTCTGGGCCGGCTTGGGGCCCTGTTGGGGTGCTCTAGGCACTCGTGTGGGCCGTCTTGGAGGCCTCTTAAGCTATTTTGGGGCCATCGTGGAGGCCTCTTGTCCGCGGGCGATCTGCATGCACCGTACCGTGGCCACCTCCTCGGAGCATGCTTCATCATTGCCGATTTTTGCACGATAGTGGTGCAGGGTTCGTGGACTGACTTGCGACCGCATCCGCGCCGTTGGACATCCTCGCGGGGTCCAGCGGTTCTGCGGGTTTGGGGGGCCGAAGGATTTCTCTGAGAGGCCTTGTCATATGTAGGTCTCCGGGCGGTACGTCTAGGGAATGAAATCTATGCGCCGTACCGCGTTTGGTTTTCATCGACGGCCTTGGCATTGGCCGTCGAGTTGTCTCGTCGGCTCTCCTGGTCCGAGTGGGAGGCGTGCGCTTCGTCACTGGGCTCGCGAGCGGGCGGCGTGTCCACGCAATTGACAGTCGGCGACGCCAGGGGGGCCCTTTGAAATTTCGAGGCTCGGCACCGTGATCGAATCTCGTCCGTTTGGGGGGCCCCTCTGGGCCGACTTGGGGCCCTCGTGGAATGCCCCAGGGCCGGCTTGGAGGCCACCTTGGGCGCCTTTGAAGCCTCCTGGGCCGTCTTGGGGGCCTCTCGGGGCCGTCTTGGGGGCCCCTCGGGGCCGTTCTGGGGCCCCCTTGGAGGCCGCCTTGGGCGATCTCTGGGCGATCTCTGGGGGAGCACGCGGGCCGACCCCGGCGGCCGGAGGGCCGACGTGAAGCAGCTGCCGCAAGCCTGCAGCACACTTGCAGGAACATCGATTACCTTTGGGCCTCCGCGGGCCTTCCTGGAGGTCCTCTGTCGGGCCGGGCGAAAGCAAGGGCTCCCACGAGGGCGCGAAGTTATTCGCGCTTCGCGCTTCGCGGTCCTCGTTCCTTCTCCCCCCTCCTCCTCGTCCTCCTTTTCTCCCTTTGGGGGGGCGGCGCGAGGGCGCGAAGTTATTCGCGCTTCGCGGAGCGCGAAGCGCGAAGTTGGGAGCCCTAGCGAAAGGGGGGGATTGGGAAAGGGGGGGTTACGAAATTTGCTGCATGCAGCCGGTTTCGGCTTCACCGAGGGGCCCATTCCTCGATACATAGCCGCCTCCGGCGCCGGGAGGCGCCGGGAGAATCAGCTACGTGAGCTGATTCTCAAACCCCCCCCTTTGCTATCCCCCCCTTTCGCCCGACGCGACTCTTGGAGGCGCCTCTGGGCGATCTTTGGGCGATCTTTGGAAGCTCGTGGGCCGTCTCGGCCCGTCGAAAGGCCGAAAAGAAGCACATGCCACAAGCCTTCAAAACCCTAAGGCAAGTCAATCATTTTGGCCGTTCGGCCCTTCCTGGAGGCCCTGTTGGAGGCCTCTTGGGCCGTCGTGGGCTATCTTGAGGCCATCTTAGGCCGTCTTGGTGGCTTCTTGGGCGGACTTGGAATCATCTCGGACTCTCTTGGTTCTCTTGGAGGCTATCTTGGACCATCTCGGGCGAACGTGGAGACCATCTTGGACGCCATTGAGGGCCATCTTGGAGCCATCTGGACCGGGACAAATTTTGCAACAGGTCTTCCGGGTGGCCGGCGGGACGGGCCGAAGCACCAGGGCTTTTGTTAGAAAAGAGCCAAAACCAAACGCACCCGGTAGGTTTCCGCACGCTAGGCACCCTTGTGGCAAGTCCACAGGGGGCGGCGGAATCGAAGACGCCTGCGGCGAATCACCGCCGCCCCCTGCCTTTTTGGAAGCGCCTATGTGGCCGAACGTTGAGGCCAGACTTGCCAAGCTATCGGACAATGTGTTCCCCGAATCGGTTTGGAAAGCCTTCGGGGAACACGTGGGCATCTTGAAAGTCATCCTGGCCGTCTGGAGGCCATTTTGACCCTTTCGGGCGTTCTTGGAGGACGTCTTGAAGGGCTCTTGGGCCGTCTTGGAGGCCATCTTGAGCGTCTTGGAGGCCTCTTGGGCCGTCTTGGGGGCCTCTGGGGGCCGTCGTGGGCCTCTTGGGCGATCTTTGGGGGCACTTTGGCCGTCTTGGGCCGTCGGAAGGCCGACAAAAAAGCAAATGCCACAACCCTTCAAAAACCGTTGGCAAATCGATGCTTTTGGCCTTTTCGGCCCTTCCTGGAGGCCCTCTTGGAAGCCTTTTGGGCCGTCTTGGGCCATCTTAGGGCCATCTTCGGCCATAACTCCTGGCCCGTCCGACGCCGTCGGAAGCCGTTTGGGGGGCCCCTCTGGGCCGACTTGGGGCCCTCTTGGAATGCTCCAGGGCCGTCTTGGAGGCCATCTTGGGCGTCTCAAAGCCTCCTGGGCCGTCTTGGGGGCATCTTGGGGCCGTCTTGGGGGCCTGTTGGGCCGTTCTGGGGCCATCTTGGAGGCCTCTTGGGCGATCTTTGGGGATCTTTGGGGGCTCTTGGGCCGTATCTGGCCTTCGGATGTCCAAAATAAGCAAATGCAAATCCTTCAAACACCTAAGGAACATCAATGATGTTGGCCTTTTCTGGCCTTCCTGGAGGCCCTCTTGGAGGCCTCTTGGGCCGTCTTGGGCCAGCTTCTAGCCAACTTCGGCCATCTTGGTGGGCTCCTGGCCCGTCTGACGCCGTCGGAAGCCGTTTGGGGGGCCTCTCTGGACCGACTTGGAACCCTCTTGGGGTGCTCCAGGGCCGTCTTAGAGGCCATCTTGGGCGTCTTGGATGCCTCTTGGATCGTCTTGGGGGCCTCTTGGGCAGTCCTGAGGCCGTCTTGGAGGCCACTTGGGCGCTGTGGGGGCGATCTTGGGGGCCTCTTGGGCCGTCTTAGGTCGTCGGAAAGCCGAAAAGGAGCACATTCGAAAAACTGTTAAAAACTAATGGAACATCAATGATTTGTTTGGCCTCTTCGGGCCCTCCTGGAGGACCTCTCGGAGGCCTCTTGGGCCGTCTTGGTCCTTCCTGGAGGTTTCTTGGGCGGACTTGGAGGCATCTCCTCCTCTCTTGGGCGGACTCGGAGGCCATCTTGCACCGTCTTGGAGGCCATCTTGGGCCAACGTGGCCATCTTGGAGGCCAGCTCGAGGCGTCTCGGAGGACTGTTGTGGACGCCGAGGTCGTCTGCAGGCCCTCCGCAGGGCCGGCGGTCAGCACGCCGGGCGCCCCTGTGGCACGTCCACAGGGGGCGGCGGACTGGTGGCCTGCGGCCCATCCCGCCTCCGGGGGGGGGGGGGAGGAGGAGGAGGGAGGGAGATCCCCAGCTGGGTTTTGGCCAGGCGCCAGCGCCGATGGGGTGGGGGGGGGGGGGGCATCCCTGCACCTCCATCTTCCATACCTTCCGACCTCCGCGGAAGGCGCGGAAGGTGACGCATTCAAGTGATTGAAAGCCTCAGGACACGCCGGAAAAACGTCAGCGCTTCACGAAGCGCAGGGAGTGTGGAAGGTCAGCACGGAAGGTCTGGAAGAGCGAGGGCGAGGGATGGGAGTGGCGCAGTGGAGGGTGGGGATGTCCTCTTTGGGCCCTCCTGGCCCGTGCGGCGGCCCCTCCTCCTCCTCCTCCTCCTCCTCCTCCTCCTCCTCCTCCTCCTCCTCCTCCTCCTCCTCCTCCTCCTCCTCCTCCTCCTCCTCCTCCTCCTCCTCCTCCTCCTCCTCCTCCTCCCCCCTCCTGGGGCCCGAAGGAGGCCTGGGAGGAGCCGCCGGAAGCCCCAAGGGGGCACGCGGGAGGCCCCGGGGAGACGGCGGAGGTCTGGGCCCGGGCCCCTTCGAGGCTCCTGGGCTGACCGTGGGGGTTCCTAAGTGGACAGGGGGGTTACAAGTGGATGCCAAGGTGGGTTATCAGAGCCCCGAATCATCAGGGGTAACTCGGGTCAGGGCTAACTCGGGTTCGTTTCTCGGGAGTCCGAACCCGAGTTACCCCGGACCCGAGTTACCCCGGATATTTCGGGCGCCCAGAGCCCCGAATCATCAGGGGTAACTCGGGTCAGGGCTAACTCGGGTTCGTTTCTCGGGAGTCCGAACCCGAGTTACCCCGGACCCGAGTTACCCCGGATATTTCGGGCGCCCAGAGCCCCGAATCATCAGGGGTAACTCGGGTCAGGGTTAACTCGGGTTCGTTTTTCGGGAACCCAAACCCGAGTTACCCCGGACCCGAGTTATCCCGGATAACTCGGGCGTCCAAGGTTATATCTGGCCCAACCCCGCTTATAAGTGGGTTACAAGTGCCCTAAGTAGCTTCGGAGGGGTCCATAACTCGGCGAAGTGGGCGGGGCCCACCTAGCCCAGATCGGTAATCCCCCTAAGCTACTTAGGGCACTTGTAACCCACTTATAAGCCAGGTTGGGCCAGATATAACCCACCTTGGCATCCACTTGTAACCCCCCTATCCACTTAGGAACCCCCACGGTCAGCCCAGTCCTCGGGGCCGTGGACTGAAGCTCCAGGGGGGTTAGGAACAGGATCAGGAGGGGACAAAAACACACACAGACGCAATGAATCGTCGATTCCCAGGAAAATGTGGAAAACTATGGGAAGTGGGGGGACGACAAAAAACCCAGAACACATGGGAAAATAGAGGGAATCCAGTTATTTGTGTGTATTTATTTGTGTGTCCCAGGGCCCCTTCAAAGGACCCGAGGGCATGCCCATTCCGTGCCCGGAGGCACGGTGGCGGAGAAATGGCTGGCTGAGCCATCGGGGGTGCCGACACATCGCGATTTTTTTCTTCGGGGCCTAAGAGACGGGGGTCAGTGCAAACGGGGGTCAGCCAGGGCACCGGATCCTGCAGGATCCTGCGGGATCCTGCGAAGACCCCCTCTGGCTGACCCGGGTTAGCGAGCCGCTCGCGACCGCGAGGCGGCAGCGCATATTGGCTGACCCGGGTTTGCGAAGACCTGCGTTGCAGTTGTTTCTTCCTGCATCCTGGATTTGACCCGGGCCAGAAGATCCCCGATTTCTCCTTTTTCCTTCCCTTCCTCCAGCAGCAGAGATTCGCGTAGCACCCCACAGTTGCGGGGAAAGGGTTGTGCCAGTGCTTCTTCTGCAGTTGTTGCCCCTTCTCCGGCAGAGCTTGCAAGCGTTCGTGCGTCCACCCGGCCCCACGGGTCGGCAGAGCCGCGCCCTGGTCGGGCGGGACGCGTCGGGGCCGAAGCCCCTCCCCTCGTCTCCGTCAGAGGTGCTCGACGAGGCGGCGATCAAGAAGGCAAACTTCTCCGACCTCGCGCTCGCCTTCATCACCATGGAGGAGTTTGCCTGAGCTCAAGCGGTGGTGAAGCGTCCTGGCGTGCCTCCAGGCCCACCGAGCAATGCTCTGAGAGCCTCGTCTGGTTTCTGCGACATGTTCCTAGAACATGTCCGGCTGAGACTGTCTTGTCTCAGCACATCAGGCGTAGGTTCGAAGAACTTCGCTTGTGTTATTCGAAAATGTTGGGTTTCTAAGGAAATGTCGTGGTAGGCCCATAGGAATGCCGGGACGGTCGGTCCCTGCTCAGTGAGCGCCCGCGCGCGCGCAAGCGGTGCTCGCGGCCGGTGATCACCAGGGGGGGCGGCCGGGAGGCCAGGCGCCGGTGGCTGTCAGAGTCGAGGAGGCGCAGCCGTGGATCGAGGCGAGCGGCTTAGCGACGGGCCCCGCTTCCACACATGAGGAGGAGGAGGAGGAAGAAGAGGAGGAGGAGGAGGAGGAGGAGGAGGAGGAGGAGGAGGAGGAGGAGGAGGGAGGAGGAGGAGGGAGGAGGATGAGGAGGAAGAGGAGGAGGATGAGGAGGAAGAGGAGGATCGATCGATCGAGCTCTCGGGCCAGTTCGGTGCTGCACTATCGCTGCGCGCTGTGCTGCTTAATAAAATCGTGTGGCCTAACTGAGGTCGCTTTTCTGAAAGGGGGTCGCGGGCGTCACTGAGATGCTCGGGCCCTACCTGCACCGTCCTCCCCCACGCAGGGGTCTGCGGGCAGGGTAGCACCCGCTATCGGGTGCCCTCTCGCTGGTTCCTCTACTGCCCCGTCTTCTCAGCCCTTCGGGTGGGGCTGGAGAGGTCGGTGCACGACAAATTGGTCAGGGAAGCTCGGGCCTCGGAGTGGGAAGAGGACTCGGTCGGAGGCGGAGGAGGAGGGCTTCCTTCCCTGACCAGCTCGTGGAATCGTGCGCTGGTGCATAAAAACGGGGTGGCCTGATGGGCCACGCTCGCTGGGGTAGGACAGTGCCGCGCCGTCCGCTCAAGCACATCACATTGTGCTGCTCCTCTCTCCGTATCGTTCTGGCGAGACGTCCCAGTTCTCGTTCTCCGTGCAGCACCGCCCCGATCTTGCGGCTCGTCTCCAGCTGCGTGTCCGTTGACTTCGCCTGGAACTGAGGCCTGCACTTCTCCGTGATGCCCCCTCCTTTGTCCTTGTTCTTGTGTGCGAGGAAGATCGGGATGCTGTCTGCTATCTTCTCTGCCCTGCCACTCGATGACGTCCGTGTAGTATTTCTCGAGGTAGTCGCGCTCCGCTTCTGCGTCGAACATGCGCTCCGTGTAGTTCGCCCATTCGATCCACACGCGGGTGTGGGGGCTGTCGAGCGAGGCCGCGTCCACTTGTTCTCCCAGCTCCTGGCCAGGTGTTTCCCTGCTCTCGATGTTGAACGTCGCCCTGTGGTATCGTTGCTCTCCGTGGTCCCAGTGATCCTGCGTGCTGTTGCCGTTGGTCGCGTCCGTGTAAGTCACTTGCAGCTGGCGTGCGCACTGTACATGTCCTTCATGGTGGACACGTAGTTGTAGTTTGCGTTGTTCTTCGGCTCGTGAAGCACTGGTAGTAATTGATGCACCCGTTGAGCCAAGTTTGCGGGCCAGTGCCTCCTCCGCTTGAGGACGGATCTGCCAGTAGCGGGAGACCTCCAGCGTTGTCGAACTACGTACCGTGCCGTCCTCGCTGTGCGTACTGGCTCGGCCCGCCTTCGCCCGTCTCAGGAGAGCGCCCATCGCGCTCTGGAGCATCTGGTACTCGTTGGGCGTGGGCGAGTAGCACTCGATGCACGACAGCCCCGTGTTGACGACCCTGCATATGAGGACCGTGCGCTTCCACTTGTAGGGTATCTCTCGCTTGGACCAGAACCTGCCGCACTCGTAGTAGCTCTTCTTCCTGGCCTGGATACGCTTCTGCGGCTCTGGGTAGTAGTTCTGCGTCGATGTTACTTGAGGGCCCAGATGCCGAGCCACCGCCGCCACTTTGCATCGCACGGCGGTCTTCGGTAGCTTTTTTAGGTATTCTTTGTCTTCTGCTTGAAGTCCCAGGCCATGTCGTTGGCGTGATTGGTGTTCCGTCTTCGGTGGGCGTAGTAGTAGTCGCCATATCTCCGTTGGTGTCGCCGTTGGTGGCGCTGCTCGTCGTGGGCGTGCTCGTTTGTGGCCTTTGGCGTTCTCGTTGTAGTCTTCCTCTATCTTGTTTTCCACGTCGTTCTCGTAATATTCCTTCTCCTCGGCGTTGTGTAGGATGGCCTCCAGGTGCTTGGCATTCTGCTCGGTGCCTTCCATGCCGTCTGGTCCTCCTGGAAGTCGCCAAAAATCAAGCCAGTCCTGCTTCGTGATAATCGTCCAGAAGTCCCTCTTGCGTGGTTCGTATCTTCCTCCTGCTCGTGGTAGTTCTTCGACTCGTTGCTCTGTGCGTTGTCGTTGCGCTCGTTGTCGTTGCCGTTGGCGTGTCTTCGTGACGTCGTGCAGCTTTTTCTTAGCCTCTCGGTGTAATTCGTGTGCCTCTCGCTGTAGTCCGTCCGTTTCGGCGCCTGGCAGTAGTATCTCTGCGCTGTCTCTACGAGGATGGTGTTGTTGTCCATGAAGAGCTGATATACTCCCTTTCCTGCTGGGTCCGCTGTCCTCTGCTCTACCTTCTCCTTCTCGTTGACTTCTCCTCTGCGTCGTCCGTGTCGGGCTGCGAGCGCGAGGCTGTCCTTTTCCCGTCTCGTTGGCTGAGGTCGCTGTCGTATTTGTTCTCGTAGCAAGGTCACTTGCACAGGTACGCCTCGTCTGGATCGGCAGCATATTAGCGGGGGTCCTTGAGATATCATCGTCTCGGTCATGCTCCTCAGTATCATGATGTACCTCGCGTTCTTCTCTCCGTAATGGCGGTCGACGTAGGTGCGAGCCTTCTGTCCCGCACCGCCTGGTAGTCGTTCGGGCGATCCACCTTCTTCGAGCGCTGGTGTTTCTGGTCGTCCTCCTTTCTGCGTGATGCCGCTGCCATCGTTGAGGTCGCCCGTGACAATTATGCTTCTGTCTGTTGGTTTCTTCTATCCAGTTGAACCCTCTGCTCGTCTTAGCGTGGTACTGTGGCGGTCTGTAGTATCCTTTGTTCAGCAGCGTCTGGTCGTGATGCAGGGTGATCGCGTAACCTCTTCCACTGAGCTGTGGCTCCTGGATGTCGATGATGGTGCCCGTGCTGCGGTTGATCTCTTCCCTTGGTTGCCAGCCCGCGTCGTAGTATCTTGTGTTGCCGAGGCGGTGCTGCGTAATGACGTGTCGTCGTCTGCGTGATGTCCCCACGGTGATGTCGATATTGTTGTCCTCCTCGTATCTCTTCGCGAGCCTGTCGGGCTTGGCCGTGAGCTGGCAGAAGAGGAGCACAGCGAGAGAGGCTGAGAGTGCCGCCATCATGCGGGCCGCCGCCCCTTCTGTCTGCTCGGTCCGAGGAATCGCATGGTGGCGGTCTGGGCTGCCCTGACAATATCTTAGGCCCAGATGGCAGCTGGAAGAGGAGGAGGAGAAGGAGGAGGAGGAGCTCGGCGGCGAAGTCAGAACCCTACCGCCCCCCCAATCCGCGAGTCGGGCAGCTCGATGGGCGGCGAGGGGGTAGGGTGCGGAGTTCGCCGAGCACGTGGCGAAATCCGAAGCCTGCCTCCCGGAATTAGGTCGGGCATGTTCCCCTACAGGCGGATTTTGGATGAGCGATGGAACATAGGAGACAAGTGCTCCAGCAGAGGCAAAAGTGATCGAAGCATCGGCACCCGAGTTTGTTTTTGGTTACTTCTGCTTGCTACTCCTCCTGTACAGTCGAGGCGCTGAAGAAGGAACCCTTTTCGTTGGGGAGGGGCTCGGTGTTCCTTGATTGTTTCGCAGCTTGCCTCAGGTTTTCCCAATGTTTTCGATAGGAAATCGAAGTTTAACTTGTGGCATAAAAAGGGGCCTCGTTCCTGATTTAGGGTTCCTTAGGTCAACGCCCCGACTGTAGAGGACGTGCCTGGCTTCACCCCAGAATCGGCGGGCTGCGTCGCCCCACCGGGGGCTGCTTCTGCCCCGAGTTCTGGCGCCCGCGCGCCGGATCCAGGGATCCCCACTCGGTGCTGGCGTGAAGTCGGGCCCTGTCCCTCTGCAGGGGGAACGTTCCAAGATAGTCAAAAAACAGTCTGGGGACGATTTCCGAATCTTTTTTCGACCGTTCTTGAGCATTTCGGGGGTGTTTTCTATTTTCCGTCCAAGTATCCGTCTGTAGGGGGACACGCCCGACCTAATGCGAGTGGGTGCCCGACACGGCTATGCCTGGCCCAAGGTTCAGAGGAGGGCGAGTGAAAACAACGGAGCTGCACCGAAGGCCCCAGAGGCCGCGGCCGCATGTGCCCGCGCCTCCCAGTACATCGCGTCGTGGCCCCGAAGGGAGCTCCACCGAATCCCCCAGTGGCCGCGGCCGCATGCGTCCGCGCCACCCATGACAGCGTTTCTAGGCACCGTGGCAGTTTCACAGAAGGCCCCAGTGGCAGCGGCCGCTTGCGTCTACCCCCGTCAGTACAGCGCTCCGTGGCACCATAGGGAGCTCCACCGAAGGCCCCAGTGACCGCGGCCGCCTGCGTCTCCCCCACCACCACAGCACAGAACACCCCACAGGGAGCTTCTAGGGAGCTCCACCGAGAGCGTAACCTCAACGCGGTATTCACAACTCCATATGGGTGGGTCCTTCGCCAAGATTATTGTCAATGCTGGGCCCCAAAAGTTCCGAACTTTGGTCCCGGATCCGTTTTTGGTGGCCAGGCCCGATGAGGGCCCCAGGACCAGATCAAGGAAGTGTGCCAGCATTGAACAAATTTTATCATCGGAGGTCTTGGCCTTCAAGGTGTATTTCGGACCTGTGATGCCCGTTCGGGGCGATTCTGGCGCTCTCGGTAAGCTCTTGGCGAGGCGCGGCTGTTGGGGAGCACCCCGAAGCGAGCAATCCTTCGGGGACCAGCGAGTGCACGGGAGATGCAGGACCCAGACTCCCGAGGGTCATGAATTTAAAGGTTTTTGGTTATTTTCGGCCTCCAGTGTTCCTCTCTGGCCCTCGGGACCGTCAACAAACAATGCGGGATGAAACACCAGTCCAGGGGAACGGGTCCAGACGGCTGGAGGTCCACGTCATGAAGAAATCAGGACGTCGGGGGTCTGGGTGGAGGCCCCCGAAGGCCCCCAGGGGGCGCCAAGAAGCCCCCAAGAGGCCGCCAAGAGGCAGCCTTCTCCTCTCGCTCCTCTCCTGGTCCTGCGGGGACAGCGCACGACCACAACCATGTCGAGGATACCCTTGGGGATGTCTTGCGCATGCCAAAAATTGTCGGAACACTGGAACCAGCTTCGTACTGTTTGTTTTGCGGGGGCAGCACTCGACCACAACCACATCCATCTAGGCCTCTTAGACGGGGTCGGCGCAGATGGGGTCGGAGGATCGCGCCGCATCGCCGATGCATCGGCGCTGTGGCTCGATGCGGAGCCCGACTTGCTTCACGCCGACGTCGCCGATACGTCGCCGACGTCGCCAATGCGTTGCCGATGCATCGCCGATGCATCGGCGATGCAGCGCGATCCCCCGATCCCATCTACTCGGACCCCATCTGGGAGCCATCTAACCCAGACCCCCGACGTCATGATTTTTTTCATGACGCGACACCCAGAGGTCTGGACCTCTTCGCCGGGACCGGTTTTTCACCCCGAGTCGTTTTCTGACGGTCCCGAGGGCCCGTATACGGGCCCCCGGAGGCCGAAGACATAGAAAAACCTCCCGTCGTGATTGTTTCAGGACTCGAGGGGGTCTGGGAATCCAAGGGGTCGGGGGAGAGCAGCCTGGAATCCCGCTTTGGTGGCCGGCGGGCCCGCGGCCCGTCGCGCCACGCGGCGGCACCGCTGGGCCCCCCTGGCCGGGGGGGCTCCCGCCGCCGGCCTGCGGGGGCGCCGTGGGCGGGGTGCGCGCGGCGCGACTTGTGGTGCTTCCGTCCGGGCGTCTCTCCGGGAACTCTCGACTACATGGACTACGTGGAGGACTTCCTGCTTCTCCCTCCTCCTCCTCCTCCTCCTCCTCCTCCTCCTCCTCCTCCCTCCTCCCTCCTCCTCCTCCTCCCCCTCTCTTCCTCCTCCTCCTCCCTCCTCCTCCTCCTCCTCTTCTCCTCCTCCTCCTCCTCCTCCTTCTCCTCCTCCTCCTCCTCTACTCCCAGTCTCCAACATCCACCTCTCCGATTTCTGCTCGCAACACGTCTTCTGAGGGCCCCGGCCCCCCCCGCCGCGCTGCCCTCGTAGGGCCGGTCCCGCTGGACCGGCATCGCGCGCTCGTCTCGTCTCGTCTCGTCTCGTCTCTCCTCAACTGGGAGAGGTTCGGGGCGGCCAAGATCAGGAGGGAAAAAAGCACACGGACGCAATGAATCGTCGATTCCCCCAGAAGATATGTAGGAAAAGATGGGGAGTGCATGGGGGGGAGACAGAAGCCCAGAAAAGATTGGAAAATACGGGGGATGTGTATTTATTTGTGTGTCCCAGGGCCCCTTCACAAGAGGGGGGTGATGGCTGGGGGGGTTGGATGTCATGGCGCGGGCCATGATATCTTCTCAGATTCCATGGCGCCTCCTCTTATTTCGTTACGCTCCCTGGACCCCTCCTGGGCCATGATTTGCGCCCCCACCTCGTGGACGCCCCCCTCTTGGCCACCTCCGAAAGGTGATCGTTTTACTATTCATTGTTTTGCCAGTCGGCGCGGGCCCTCTTCCCCCCCCCCAAGGAGTAGATCTTTGCTGTTTCTCGCGCCTGCTGCGAGCAGGCGGAGCCTTCCCCATAGGACGCACTGTTGCAATCAGTCGCATGAAGCAGAGGCCCGGAGCCAGACCCTCCCCCCTCCCCCCCCTTCCGCCCAATGTCGAAACGCCGAATAAGAAAACGTTTACATGGTGATTAATCATCGTTCTGGGAGGAAGGGATTTAGAAGATACGGGGTACGACTGTGTACAGTCAGCGCGCCTAGTAAGGAACCGCGCCTTCATCTAGAGGGCCCCTGTGTCCTTGCCTCTGCGGCCCGTCCCTTGCCGTCTTCACTGGTCGCCAACCGACCGAAAATCCAAACTTCGTCTTCCAAGGGTCTTGCGTCTCGACCACCCGTCCATAATTCACGTCGCCGGTACTAGACACCTTCAACGTACGCGTTGACAGTGCTTATCTGAGCATCTCTCCCAACTCCACCCTCCCAACCCGATTGTTGTCTTTCTGATCGATCTCGGCCCTCGGGCGTGTCTCTTCGATTTATTTGTGCTTTGCGCGCCCCGCCTAGCTCTTAACCGGAAGAGGCCCGCTCTCGACCCGCCGACCAAAAAGTTTCTCTTCGATCTCGATGGCAGGCTTCGAGGTTCTAGGTTTTTGGGCGTTCCCCGGCCGCTTTCGAACCCCGGGGCGCACACCGGCAGCTGCGCCTCGCCGAGGGCGTCAAGGGGGGGGTTGCCAGAGTCGTCCTGGACGGCCGCGGGAGAGCCGGGTGATCACTCCGAACCCTATTGGTCACTGTGCATGGGACCTTCGGGGCCTCGTGCTGGGCCCCAGGACCCGAAGAGTTCAGGCATTGACCCGGCTTTGCAAATGCGGCTGAGAGATGAGGTCCAGGGATTTGGTAGTGATTTTTCCGGTGTGGCCTTTTTGCCGTAACGTTGAATCTGAGCGGCTACGCCTCGCCAGGGGCGATCTTGTGCGTCCCGAGTGGCCGCCGCAGGTCAGAGTTGCAACCCGAAAGCCCAGCCCTCCGGCGATGGGATTCTTTCAATCCTTGCGTCTTTCCTCGAATTCGGCCCCAGCACCACCTTTAGTCAGGAGGGGAGAGAAAACATACGCACACAATTAAACGTCGACTCCCAGGAGAAGATACGAAGGTATGGGAAGTGGGGTGCAGGCGAAAACTCATCAGATTTAGTACCACATCAGGAGCCATGGGGTTTGTGTTTCATTTGTTCGTGTGTCCCTGGGCCCCGTCAGTCATCGGGCCCCGAGGGTCATCACAAGCGAGCGACGCATAAAAGCAGGGCCGTCTTTGCCGACGATGGCGCACGAGTTGCCCGCGTAAGGCCGCGCAGGTGCGCCCTCGTTTCCAATGCAGGGTGCCGCGCTGGCGGCCTGCGTGAGCCGCGTCGGGAGGTTGCATTGCCGTCTCGCGTAAACCCCGTGTGTTTTCGTCGCTCAGATGGACCCAGGGGCGACAAGTTGGCCCCCGGGAGTGCTCAGGAGGAAAAGAAACACACAGACTCAATTCATCCTGGATTCCCCAGCCAAAATGGGAAAATATGGGAAGTGGGCGGGAAGACAGAAACCCAGAAGATATGGGAAAAGATTGGGAACATTTGTTTTGTGTGTATTTTTATTTATGTGTCCTTGGGCCCCTTCAAGTGCGTCGGGACCTCCTCTTGGGGCCGCGGACTGAAGAAGCAAGTCACGCCGGCGGACGCCAGGGCTCGATGCCGGCGGATGTCAGGGCTCGCCGCCCTCGCCTTGGAAACGCGTATTATATGCGGCGCTATTGTAGGCGTTGCGCCTCCTGTGGAACACCTGTTCCTACCGTCGGGGCGTTGACCTAAGGAACCCCCTAAATAAGGAACGATGCCCCATTCTCCCATGAGTTAAACTTCGATGTCCCACGGAAGACCTCAGGAAAACAGAAGACAAGCTGTAAAACGATCAAGGAACACCGAGCCCCTCCCCAACGAAAAGGGTTCCTTCTTCAGCGCCCCGACTGTATGCGCAGGGCCAGGGGCCCTTCGCGACGCTATTGTAGGAGCGCATGTTTTCAGGTGCTGCGGCGTGCTGCAGCACTGCACCTTCTGCGAGCACCAGAGTCGAGCAGCGCCGTCGCGACGGCAGCCCGGCGTCACTCCTCCTCTCCAGGGCACTCTGGGCACATGCGCGAAATCGAGGCCTCCAGGACAACATCGGAGCAGATGGGGTCGGAGGATCGCGCCGCGTCGCCGGTGCATCGCCGGTGCATCGCCGACGCATCGCCGAGGCCTCGGCGAGGCGGCGCGATGCTCCGACCCCACCGACTGGGACCCCGTCTAGGGTTAAGTCGGGCCTGTCCCCCTACAGAGGGATTTTCGACGAAAAATAAAAAGTACCCCCAAAATAATCCAAAAATAGTCCAAATAGTCTGGGGACTATCATGTGCGTATGTTTTGATCCTTTGGGGGCATTTGTTTAGGTATTTTTCCCAACCATCCTGTGGTGTTGGGTCCTCATTTTGAAGAGACGGTGCCCCGCGTCTCTCCTCCTCTCCTCCTCCTCCCCCTCTCTTCCTCCCCCTCCTCCTCCTCCTCCTCCTCCTCCTCCTCCTCTCATCATCAGCATCATCATCATCGTCATCGTCACCGTCATCATCAGCATCATCATCATCACCGTTCTTATCACCATCGTCGTCATCATCATCGCCGTCTTCATCATGGCCACACGTTTCGTGGACCCATAATGAGCTCCACCGGCGGCCCCAGTGGCAAGGTCCGCATGCGGTTCCACCTCCATTTCGGCGCACCCCTCACACGCTCCGTGGCCCCATAGGGAGCTCCACCGAAGGCCCAAGTGTCAGGGTCCGCATGCGGTTCCACCCATTTCGGCGCACCCTCACCAAGTTTCGTGGGCCCATAGGGAGCTCCACCGAAGGCCCAAGGTCAGGGTCCCCCCGCATGCGGTTCCACTCCATTTCGACGCACCCCTACACGGTTTCGTGGCCCCATAGGGAGTCCAACGAAGGCCAAGGTGTCGGGCTCGCAGCGGTTCCACCTCCATTTCGGCGCACCTCACACTTTCGTGGCACCATAGGGGACGCCACCGGAGTGCCCAAGTGTCAGGGTCCGCATGCGGTCTCCACTCCATTTCGGGACGCACCCTCCACACGTTTAGGGCCCCATAGGGAGCTCCACCGAAGGCCCAGTGTCAGGGTACGCATGCGGTTCACCTCTCATTTTCGGCGCACCCCCCCACCCCCGTTTCGTGGACCCATAGGGAGCTCCACCGAAGGTGGCCCAATCCAGGGGTCCGCATGCGGTGCATGCGGTTCCACCTCCATTTCGGCGCACCCCTCACACGTTTCGTGGCCCCATAGGGAGCTCCACCGAAGGCCCAAGTGTCAGGGTCCGCATGCGGTTCCACCTCCATTTCGGCGCACCCCTCACACGTTTCGTGGCCCCATAGGGAGCTCCACGCCGTGGCCCCAAGGCCCTAAGTGGCAGGGTCCGCATGCAGTTCCACTTCCATTTCGGCGCACCCCTCACACGTTTCGTGGCGTCATAGGGAGCCCCGCCTAAGGCCCAAGTGGCACGGTCCGCATGCAGTTCCACCTCCATTTCGGCACACCCCTCACACGTTTCGTGGCCCCATAGAGAGCTCCGCCTAAGGCCCAAGTGGCAGGGTCCGCATGCAGTTCCACCTCCATTTCGGCGCACCCCTCACACGTTTCGCGGCCCCACAGGGTGCTCCACCGAAGGCCCCAGTGGCAGGGTCCGCATGCGGTTCCACCTCCATTTGGCGCACCCCTCACACGCTTCGTGGCCCCATCGGGTGTTCCACCAACGACGATACTTACAACGGCGGCATTCGGAATTGCGTATGGCTGGGCCCTTCGCCAGGATCATTTTCATCGAAAATCCCCCTGTAGGGGGACAGGCCCGACGTAAGTCTAGGGAGGCTTCTGGCGAGGAGGCTCGCTCGTCGGCACGCGCAGCACAGGGAGAGGAGAGGCAACCCCCCAGTGGCCGCCGGGGCCCGGAGAGGAGCGCGCCTCGGAGGTCCGGCAGCCCCCCGTTCTGTGCAGAGGGCGGAGGCCTCCAGGGCGCAGAGGGGAGCTGCCGAGCCTCCAAGGCGGACCCCCTCGAGTCATGGAAAAATCACGACGGGAAGTTTTTCTATGTCTTCGGCCTCCTGGGGCCCTTACCGGCCCTCGGGACCGTCAAAAACCGACTCGGGGTGAAAAACCGGTCCCGGCGAAGAGGTCCGGACCTCTGGGGGTCGCGTCATGAAAAAATCATGACGTCGGGGGTCTGGGAAGGCGGACCCCGCTCGTGCTCCCCTCTTATCGCCGGCCTCGAACTGCTCCCTGTCCCCAAGATGGTCACGCCAGAGGGCGATGACGATCTCAGGGGTGCGCCCCGAAAGGCCAAGGGAATCCCTGAGGCTGGCACTGTCCCTCCACCTCCAGCTTCCATACCTTCCGACCTCTGCGGAAGGCGCGGAAGGTGATGCATTGAAACTATTGGAAGCCTCGGCAGGCGCAAGAAAACCCAGCGTTTCACGGAGCGCAAGCGTGTGGAAGGTCAGCACGGAAGGTCTGGAAGAATGAGGGCGAGGGGTGACGAGGAGATGCCCAGCAGAGGGATAGGGATTTGTCCCAGGCGGGTGACTTCCTGCAGATTGTGGAGGCCGTGCGCCCGCTGCCGTCGACCCCGGTGGCCAGGACAGGGCTCGAGCTACACTTCGGTCGGGCGTGTCCCCCTACAGGGGGATTTTCGACGAAAGACAACAAAACACCCCCAAAACACCCCAAGAAGGAAAAATCATGTTCAAAAAATAGTCCCCATAGCTTTTGGGGACTACTTGTTTTTTTTTGCTCCAGAAATTTAATAATAATAATAATAATACTGATACTACTACTACTAATAATAAGAATAATAATATTAGTCGTAATAATACAAATAATAATAATAATATTAATAGTACTAATAATCGTAATAATAGTAATAATAATGATTTTAAAAAGTTCGTCGGAAATCCCCCTGTAGGGGGACAGGCCCGACGTAAAGCTACACGGTGTTCTGGCGATCTCGTGGGCCGCCTCCGTCCGGAGCCTCGTGGCGCAGCGGAGGCAGAGCGAAGGCGGAGGCGGGGAGAAGAGGAGCGCACACGGAGCACGAACAAAAGCATTGTTTAGCGCGAGCCAGGGCGAGGAGGAGGGGGATACATCGAAAGCAGCGCGACAACGAACACGAACGCTTGCCAGGGCGAGGAGGAGGAGGAGGGGGAGGAGGAGGAGGAGGGGGAGGAGGAGGAGGAGGAGGAGGAGGGAGGAGGAGGAGGAGGAGCAAGAGAAGGAGGAGGAGGAGAAGGACGAGGAGGAGTAGGAGGATGGAGGAGGAGACGGAAAAGGAGGAGGAGGATGTGCGGGAGGAGTGGGTCGAGAGCAGGACTCTGTCTCAAAAACCGCCCCCACCCTGGATGGAGGGGGTGGGGGGCTTCGAACCCCCCCCCCCTCCCCCCCCTGATTCCCCTCTCCTCGGGCCGGCGCTTGCGTCGGCGGCGGTTGGCGACGGCAGCGGGGACGACGATTTGCTTTCTGGGCCGGCGCTGGCGCTTGCGCCGGCGGGCGGCGGTGAGTGGGAGCGTCGACGAGGACAGTGGTGGTGGTGGTGGTGGGTTGTGGTGGTGGTGGTGGTGTTGGCAGTGGTGGTAGTGGTGGTGGTGTGGTGGTTTGTTGTGGTGGTGGTGGTTGTAGCGTAGGTGGTGGTGTTGGTGGTTTGGTGGTGGTTTGGTGGTGGTTTGTGGTCGTGGTGGTGGGTTGTGGTGGTGGTGTTGGTGGTGGTCTTGGTGGTGGTGGGTTGTGGTTGTGGCAGTGGTTTGTGGGGGTGGTGCTGGTGGTGGTGTTGGCGGTGGTGGTGGTGGTAGTGCGGTGGTTTGTGGTGGTGGTCGTGGTTTGTGCTGCTGGTAGTGATGGTGGTTATGGCGGTGGTGGAGGTGGTGTGGTAGATTGCGGTGGTGGTGGTAGTGGTTGTGGGTTTTTGTGGTGGTAGTGGTGATGGTGAGTTGTGGTGGTGGTGGTGGTGGTGGTGTGGAGGTGGTGGTGTGGTGGTGGTTTGTAGTGGTGGTGGTGGTGGGTTGTGGTGGTGGCGGTGGTTTGTTGACGTTGTGCTGGTGGTGGTGGTGGTGGCGATGGTGGTGGTGGTGGTGGTGGGTGGTGGTTTGTGGTGGTGGTGGTGGGTTGTGCTGCTGGTAGTGGTGGTGGTTGTGGTTGTGGCGGTGGTGGAGGTGGTGTGGAAAATTGTGGTGGTAGTGGTGGTGGTGGTGGTGGTGGGTTTTTCTGGTGGTGGTGGTATGGGAGTGGTGTGGTGGTTTGTGGGGGGTGGTTGTGGGGGTGGTGGTGGTGGTGGTGGTGGTGGTGTTGTGGTGCTGTTGTGGTGGTGGTGGCTTGGGGCGGTCGTGGTGGTGGTAGTGGTGGTGGTGGTGGTGGTGGTAATCGTCGCTGCGTCCCCGCCGTCGCCGTCGCCAGCGCCGCGCTGCTCGCCAGGCCGCCGCGCGCCGGCGCTGCTGGCCGCCGCCAGCGCTGGCGCCGGCGCGAGGGGGGGGGTTTGAACCCCCCCCTCCTGGCGCCAGGGGGGGGGTTAGAACCCCCTCCCCCCTTCCCCCCATTGGGCTGCCTCTGGTCATCGTCGCTGCGTCCCCACCGTCGGCGCTGCTGGCGGCCGCCAGCGCCGGCGTCGCCGGCGCCGAGGGGGCGGTGGGGTTTGAACCCCCCCCCCCCTTTGGAGAGGGGAGGGGTTCGGGAAAGGAGGGGGTTGGGGGGGGAGGGGAGTCCTCTTGGCTGTGATCGACGGTGCCGAGTGTTGGGGGGGGGGCACCCCTCGCTACGAAATGCGCCGCCGAATGTTCCCAAGGCAAGCGCTCGTGAAACGCGTTCTCTCAAACATGAGGACCCCCCAAGTCTGGGAAGGAGGCACCCATGCCGCTACACGTTTGCCTCGTCTTCGCTTTTGTTGAGGTCTCCTGGGAGGTTGTCGTCGCCACTGCTGGCTTCGCTTCGAAATTCTGTTCAGGACAAACCCGGGAGAGGTCTGGGGAGCAGCGGTATCGGTACCGTGCAGTTTCCTCAGAGGAGGTCGAGGTGGAGCAGGAGGAGGAGGAGGAGAAAGATGAAGAGACAGATAATGATGATGTTGTTGATGATGATGATGATGATGATGATGATAAGGAGGAGGAGGAGGAGGAGGAGGAGGAGGAGGAGGAGGAGGACGCGATGGATTCCTGGTGGGCACGGCATCTTCTTCCTTATCTTTTTCTGTGCTCGCCTTTTTGTCCGTTCCGATGCTCGACCCTTCCTTTGGTGCTGGTGCACCTGGTGGCGCAGCTCTCATTGCTTGCACTTTGCGAGCTCGGCCTGAATAGTTCTTTTCCTCGTCTTCCTTCCTTGAGATCTGACGTCGCGAATAAGTTCCAGCATCGCAGGATATTCTCGACCAGAGCCATGGGCCCCATTCTTATGCGGCGTGTTGCCGAGCCAGAGTGATCCGTAAGGGTCCCAGGGCCCGAATACAAACAACAATATAATCGCCCGTCGTAAAATTTTGAGACGCCCGGATCTCGGATTGAATCTCGTCCTGCCGCCGCACATTGGCGGGCTGAAGTTTCCCTTATACTTAGGTGCTTCCCTGCTGCCTTGCACGCCTACTGCGCACGTCAAGCTGCTCCCCAGCGGCCTCTGCCGCGAAGCGGCTTGGCCACAGGTCTACGTGATTCGACGCCGCAGCTTGAGATCGGAAACGCATGCCATCCATCCTCTCGCATCTGTGGACCTTCTCTCGCTGCCTCTCTCCTCCACCTCGCCCCCTCTGACACCATGGCGCCGCATTGCAGTTCACATCGGCCGATGTTGCCTTGTGTCGGCCCTTGGACCCTCACGCAGCGGCCTAGCTAAAAACATGCATCAGACGGATGGGGTCTAGGGGTTCCGGTTGAAGCTCCCTACGTTTAAGTCGGGCGTGTCCCCCTACAGGGGGATTTTCGACGAAAAATAAAAAATACCCTAACAATAATCAACAAATAATCCAAACATAGTCTGGGGACGATGTTTTGAATATGTTTTGACCTTTCTGGGGCATTTTGGGGGTATTTTTGTAATTGTTCGTCGAACATCACCCTGTAGGGGGACGGGCCCGACTTAACCTTACGATGCTGCACTGTCTCGCGTCGTCGGAGCTCAGGGGTGCGTCACCGGGCGTCGGTCGTATGGGACATCGGCCTGCAGGCGCGGGGCGGCGGAGGCACATCGGGAGGGAGAGCAGCGCGGAGAGACACAAGTAATCGTTGACCATGGTGCGTGTACGGAAACTGTGGGAAGTGGAGGGGAAGACGGACATCTAGATAATCTTATGACATACTCACTACTACGACGACTACTACTACAAGTGGTAGTCTTACTAGGACCACCAGCACTACCACCATTTTTAGTACTACGATTCTTTTTTTTAAAAAAAAAATATTATTATTATTACGACGACGACGAGTACTACGCCTACGGTAACGTGTACCTGCGACGACTCCTATTATTACTAGTGCTACTGCTCTTACTACAATTGCTACTACTTGTTCTCTTTTTGTAAATGCTACTGCTAGTGCTGCCGCCACTATCAATATTTGTGAATATTCTTCTTCTTCTTCTACTACTACTACTACTACCACCACGAGTACTAGTACCACTACTACAACTAACACTACTACTACGACCACGATTTCTACTACTACTACGGCTACGATTACTATTACCACTACTACTACTACTACTACTCCTACTACTACTACTTCTACTACTACTGCTACTGCTACTGCTACTGCTACTACTACTTCTACTACTACCACCTCTACCTCTACCTCTACCTCTACCTCTACTACTACTACTACTACTACTACTACTACTACTACTACTACTACTACTACTACTACTAAGGCTACTACTACTACTACTACTACTACTACTACTACTACTACTACTACGACTGCTACTATTACGACGACTACTACTACCCCTACTACTACTACTACTACTATTCTACTACTATTCTACTACTACTACTACTACTACTACTAGTACTACTACTACTACTACTACTACTACTACTCCTACGACTACTACTACTACTACTACTACTACTACTACTACTACTCCTACGACTACGAACTAACTACTACTAATACTACTACTACTACTACGAACTACTACTAACTACTACGACACTAACTACTACTACTACTACTACTACTACTACTAACAAAGACTAATAACACTACTACGATACTACTACTACTACTACTACGACCCCCACTGACTAACTACTACTACTACACTGCTACGTACTACTACTACACTAACTACTACTACGACTACTACGACTACTACGACTACTACGACTAACTACTACTACTACTACTAACTACTACTACTTACTACTACTACTACTACTACTAACTACGCACTACCCCTACCACTTCCACTACCACTACCACTACCACTACTACTACTACTACTACGACTACTACTACTACTACTAACTACTACCATGTAAACGCCCCTCCACGGGGGCAGACACCAATTGAACCAAGTGTAATTTGCTGGGGCGTCACGCTGTCACCCTGCTCATCCTTGCCTCATCATGCTCGTCCTCCTCCTCATCCTTCTCCTCGTCCTCCTCCTCCTTTTCCTTGTCCTTCTCCTCCACCTCCTCCTCCTCCTCCTCCACGTCCTCCTTCTCCTCCGCCTCCCCCTCCCTACCCCGTGCGTGATGGACCATGGGACCTCATGGAGCCTCCTGGTAATCCCGGGGGCCTCCTGGGATAGCAACCTCTGGGGACTTCCTACGGCCTCTTGAAACCTCATGGGCTCTCCTAGGGTATCCTCAGCCCTCCAGGGGCGTCCGCAGCGTTCTGGAACTTTTGGGTCGTTCAGGATACTTCCAGAGCGTGACGGGACCTCCTGGGGCCTTGTGGGACCTCGCGGGGCATCCTGGGACCTCCTGGAGCGTCCTGGAGCCTCCTTAGGATTCCCACGGCCTTTGGGGACGTCCTGAAGCCTCCTGGAGTTTCCTGATGCCTCCTGAAACCTCCTGGGGCCTCTTAGCGGCTCTCTAAGAAGCCACGCGCGGGGCCTCAAAATTGGTGACAGTTTCAAGGATGGGAGCCTTCCCATTGAGAAAGAGGGCGCGGTGGACGTTGAAAAATGACGACAGTTACACACTTGAACCCCAAAACCGTGCCGGGCGCCCCCCCCGCCATTCCCGGTCCTGCATAGTACGGTGCGATTTGCCCCCTCCCCGCTGTCCCGCCGGTCCCAGGGAGGGCTAGTTTTTTGTTTTCGCTGGTAAGAAACACTTCCCCCCCCCTCTCGGCGGTGACGGAGGGCAGGCGGCGGGGGAGAGCGGGTTGGCAGCACGGAGGGCAGGCGGAGGGGATCGGCTGGTTGGCGGGATGACGGGGTGGGCGGCTGGGCTGGTTGGCTGACGGGTTGGCAAGGTGGCGGGGTGGCTGGGTGGGCTGGCTGGCTGGTTGGACGGGTTGGCAGGTTGAGCTGGCTAGGGCAATTGGTTTCGATTACTACTACTACGACGACTACTATTAGTATTACTACTACTACTAATACTACTACTACAACTACTACTACTACTACCACTACCACTACCACTACCACTACCACTACCCACTACCACTACACTACCCTACCACTAACGTTACTATTACTACTACTACTACTACTACGACGACTACTACCACCACTACTACTACTACTACTACTACTACTACTACTACTACTAACTACTACTACTACTACTACTACTACTACTCTACTCCCTACTCTACTCCTACTCCTATCTAACTCCTACTCCTATCTTATTCCTTATTAGAATATACTCCTACTCCCCCCTCAGGCCGGCCATTAGGGGCCGCATCCGGGGGGTCCCATCCTAACCTGTAAAAAACAATACAAAATCAACATTTTTCTTATTTTTTCCTCTCGACATGGACGTCCTGTCGTCCACGGCGATAATCCATTGCAAAAAATACCACAAAGAGCACACGCGCGCGTTCATGTCAGAATCCTACCGAACACCGTGTGTTTGCAAGCATTTCAACATAAAAACATCAAAAACCCAATGCTTTTTTTCACAAAAATTCTACAATTTTCCTGCCCGGCTCTCTTGCTGAAATCATAGGAAAACCATAGGAATCTTAAGAATTCGGTCAAATCCAGCGATTTCACGTCATCGCGCGGTGCACTCGCGATGCTTTGTCATGCACCCAGGCCGCGAATCCTGTGCAAAAAATACAACAAAGAGCACACTCGCGCGTTCATGTCAGAATCCTACCGAACACCGTGTGTTTGCAAGCATTTCAACATAAAAACATCAAAAACCCAATGCTTTTTCACAAAAATGCTTTGGGGTGTCCTGTCAGACCGTCGGGCTTCCTCCGGCCACCTCTGGCTTCCTGCGGTGTACCGGGCCATTCTCGACTCGTCTGGCAATGCGTGCGCGGCATTCAACACGCGCTCGCCAGTTCCCGTCGGCAACAGCCATCGCGGCCGCATCAGCTGTACCAAACCGGCTGGCCGGTGTGACTTCGGCCCCCAGTTGTGCCAGCTTTGCTTCTTATGTTGTGGGAGGGCGGGTGGACTGGGCATGCCATGCTTGACTCGCTCGAGCTGGCTAGCTTGACTCCTACTCCTACTCCTACTCCTTCTCCTATCCTTATTCCTTATTAGAATATACTCCTACTCCCCCTCTCAGGCCGGCAGATAGGGGCCGCATCCGGGTGGTCCCATCCTAACCTGTAAAAAACAATACAAAATCAACATGTTTCTTATTGTTTCCTCTCGACATGGACGTCCTGTCGTCCACGGCGATAATCCATTGCAAAAAAAAATACACAAAGAAGCACACGCGCGCGTTCGTGTCAGAATCCTACCCGAGACCGTGTGTTTGCAAGCGTTTCAACATGACCAACATCAAAAACTAATGCTTTTTTTTCACGTTGAAAATTGTCAAATTTTCAGCCCGGGCTCTCTTGCGAAATCATATAGGAAAAACCGCGGTAGAATTTAAGAAGTCTGTCGAACTCCAGCGATTTCACGTCATGGCGGGGGCGGCTGCACTCGCGGTGCTCTGTCATGCACCCAGGCCGCGAATCCTGTGGCAAAAATACCACAAAAAGATCAACACTCGCGCGTTCATGTCCGAATCCTACCGAACACCTTGCAAGCATTTTAACATAAAAACATCAAAAACCCAATGCTTTTTCACAAAAATGTTTTGGGGTGTCCTGTCAGACCGTCGGGCTTCATCCGGCCACCTCTGGCTTCCTGCGGTGTACCGGGCCATTCTCGACTCGTCTGCAATGCGTGCGCGGCATTCAACACGCGCTCGCCATTGTTTCCCTCGCAACCGCAATCGCGGTGCCTGCATCAGCTGTACAAACCGGCTGGCCGGTTGGCAGGTGTGACTTCGGTCCCCGTTTGTGCCAGCTTTGCTTCTTGAATGTTTGGGAGGGCGGGAGATTGTTTTTTTTATATCCTCTGGCTTTTTTTATCCTCTGGGGGGTAACGCTCGTTACCCGGGCCTCTCCCCCCCCCCCCCCCCCGTAACGGTACCGCTCGTACGCGGGGGGGGTCTCGGTCTTCCCCTCCAACATGCTGGTGCCCGAAGGCATGCGCACTGTGGTGTGGTGGTCGCAGGCGCACTGTGGGCGCTCGCATGCCATTGCGGCGCTCGCATGCGCGATGCTGGTGCTTGCGGGCTTTGCGCTTGTACTCGAATCGTCGTCGTCGTCGTCGACGGCGCCCGAAAAACGGCCTCCGGAGTCCGACAAAGGCACAAAAACAACGTCGTCGTCGTCGTCGTCCTCGTTGCCGTCGTCGTCGTCGT